TGTATAGTGTAGTGTAGTAGAGTATAGTGTGTAGTGTATAGTAGTGTGTAGTGTATAGTGTAGTGTATAGTGTAGTGTATAGTGCTCTTCCTCTCTGCCCCTTCAGGGCCCTTCCCCTCCACTCCTTCAGGGCCCTTCCTCTCCTTCAGGGCCTTTCCCCTCCACTCCTTCAGGGCCCTTCCCCTCCACTCCTTCAGGGCCCTTCCTCTCCTTCAGGGCCCTTCCTCTCCACTCCTTCAGGGCCCTTCCTCTCCACCCCTTCAGGACCCTTCCTCTCTGCTCCTTCAGGACCCTTCCCCCCACTCCTTCAGGGCCCTTCCTCTCTGCTCCTTCAGGGCCCTTCCTCTCCGCTCCTTCAGGGCCCTTCCTCTCCGCCCCTTCAGGGCCCTTCCTCTCCACCCCTTCAGGGCCTTTCCTCTCCGCCCCTTCAGGGCCCTTCCTCTCTGCTCCTTCAGGGCCCTTCCTCTCCACTCCTTCAGGGCCCTTCCTCTCCACTCCTTCAGGGCCCTTCCCCTCCGCTCCTTCAGGGCCCTTCCTCTCCGCCCCTTCAGGGCCCTTCCTCTCCTTCAGGGCCCTTCCACTCCTTCAGGGCCCTTCCTCTCCGCTCCTTCAGGGCCCTTCCTCTCCGCCCCTTCAGGGCCCTTCCTCTCCTTCAGGGCCCTTCCACTCCTTCAGGGCCCTTCCTCTCCACTCCTTCAGGGCCCTTCCTCTCCACTCCTTCAGGGCCCTTCCTCTCCACTCCTTCAGGGCCCCTTGAAGGAGTGGAGAGGAAGGACATCTCCCGTGTAAAAAAAAAAAACGGCCGGCGTCTTCCCACGTTGACGAAACGAAAACTCGAGCGCTCAATAGAACCTCAACAGAAGCTTCTCCGGGGAAACCAATGAGCATGGGGTGAAGAAGTTCCTCTCGCGACAGACACATTGTGACCCCTGCAGAATATCCGGAGCGAGGTATCTGAGATTCGAGCTCAGTGCGGCGTTGCGGTGTCAACGACGGGAGGTGTCCCGGGGTTAGCTCTCGGTGCAGCGATTGAAAACACTCACATCTTGGGGACTGCTTTTTGTGTGTGCTCGTTTATTATCCTTCCCCACCCCCCCCCACCCCCCGCCCGCATCTCCGATTAGCACGGTTGGATACGTACGGTGCGATAGAAGTTGTATATGCTGTACATACAAACATACGACGTGGCGTTATTCCCGTTGAAGTGTCACGCCCTGTGATCAGGCCCCAAACTGAGCATTATTGAATATTTGTCCGTGCCACGTTTCGCGTCTCGGGACCAGTTTCCGGATTGTTTTTTTCCCGCGATCAAACTCCCAAAAGTCGCGAACGACAATCCTACTTCCACCCCCACCACCACCACCACCCCAGGACACATCCATGCCAGAGGCGGTATCGTTCCCCGTTGAGGAGTTTAACTGCTGAGCACGGAGCGAGGTGCAAGATGATCCTGAGCGGCGTTCTTGATTGCAAGGCCCCACCGCGGGCCTCTGGCCGCCACCGATGGCCAATTTTGGTGCGGGCCCTGCCGGAAATAAGCAAAGCCCCAAAACGTGGCGTGAAACGGTGCGGTGGCACCCACACAACTGCTGGTGTCCCGCGCTGGACGTCCTGCGAAGAAACGAAAAATAATCGAGAGAGCTTTGTAGCTCATCGGATTCCTCTGTTTTCTCGTGATTCTTGATTTCTTATCGGAGAAAGTGGCCTTCAACCCCCCCACCCACCCACCCGCAACCTTCTGAAAATAACTCTTTGGATCTTTCGGTGAAGTCACGTAGGTAGAAATAAAATCAAAGCAACTCCGTGACTTGACCGGAAAAGAATCAACGAGTGTGGATTCCTGCTGTCACGAAAGCTTCAAATGAAGATTCTGGAAATGAGCGAAGAACAACAAAGTAGGGGTCCAAGAACCTCTTAAGAAGACGACGACGATGACGATCCTCAAACTTGCCACGGCAGATAACGAAACTAACCTCCGATAGCCTCCAGCGCGATCGGAGCGATGAATTGAACCCGTCGGCTCACGAATTATGGTTGATCAAACCCGTTCAATATGTAGGCGCAAAATTGCCCTGATTCGTCGATCTTAATGAACGCCCGTGAACGGCTCAACCGAGGAGGCGAATTCTCTCCGTCTTAACCCCGAGCAAGGATTCCGTCGATGCCTCTTTGAGACTCTTTGCGTGCGTCGGCAGTGCGGGGGGGGGGGGGGGGGGGAGCGGTGGTGCAGCGGTTAGCGTCGCCGCAGCCGCAAAAACCCGGCGCGACCCGGAGGTTCGATTCCCCCCTGGCTCGCGGCAGACCGACGATTATCCGCACCTCCCCTAGGTTGACTCGGCCTCGAATGCGTGCCCGGTGTGGTGCGTACAGAAAAAAACATCGCCGCTCGTGGGAGACAAAGGCGGCCGGGCGTGGTTTGCTGGCCCCCCTCCTCCCCCCCCGCGCCGCGGGCCACGTGTGCCGCTCGCTACCAACAACAGCCACTTGCCCCGGCAGTCTGCGAAGGCTACACAGGCAAGCTGTCCCTTTTGTCTTTGCGTGACAGCTGGCGCGTCTGTCAATCATTTCCCGGCAGGTAACCCCGCCCACAGCACCACTACACCTGGAGTCTGCCCCCCCCCGTGACTCAACACCCCCCCCCCCCCCCCCACGTGGTCTCAACGTGCACCTAGCCTGGCACGCCGTGGTCACCGCTACCACATAGTGGCGAGTTGGCAGGCTGTCGTGGTGTGATAAGAGTTGTGTGTGTGTGTGTTAGGGTTGTGTGTGTGTGTGTTAGGGTTGTGTGTGTGTGTGTTAGGGTTGTGTGTGTGTTAGGGTTGTGTGTGTGTGTGTTAGGGTTGTGTGTGTGTGTTTGTTAGGGTTGTGTGTGTGTGTGTTAGGGTTGTGTGTGTGTGTGTGTTAGGGTTGTGTGTGTGTGTGTTAGGGTTGTGTGTGTGTTAGGGTTGTGTGTGTGTGTGTGTTAGGGTTGTGTGTGTGTGTTTGTTAGGGTTGTGTGTGTGTGTGTGTTAGGGTTGTGTGTGTGTGTGTGTTAGGGTTGTGTGTGTGTTAGGGTTGTGTGTGTGTGTGTTAGGGTTGTGTGTGTGTGTGTTAGGGTTGTGTGTGTGTGTGTTAGGGTTGTGTGTGTGTGTTAGGGTTGTGTCTGTGTGTTAGGGTTGTGTGTGTGTGTTAGGGTTGTGTGTGTGTGTGTTAGGGTTGTGTGTGTGTGTGTTAGGGTTGTGTGTGTGTATTAGGGTTGTGTCTGTGTGTTAGGGTTGTGTGTGTGTGTTAGGGTTGTGTCTGTGTGTTAGGGTTGTGTGTGTGTGTGTGTGTTACGGTTGTGTGTGTGTGTGTATTAGGGTTGTGTGTGTGTATTAGGGTTGTGTGTGTGTGTTAGGGTTGTGTGTGTGTTAGGGTTATGTGTGTGTGTGTTAGGGTTGTGTGTGTGTGTTAGGGTTGTGTGTGTATTAGGGTTGTGTGTGTATGTGTAAGGGTTGTGTGTGTGTTAGGGTTATGTGTGTGTGTGTGTTAGGGTTGTGTGTGTGTTAGGGTTGTGTGTGTGAATCAGGACTGTGTGTATTAGGTGTGTGTGTGTGCATTAGAGTTGTGTATATATTACGGCTACGTATTAAGGTTGCGGGTGTGTATTAGGGTTTGTGTGTATTAAGGTTGCGTGTTAGGGTTTGTGTGTGTTGAGGATTAAGTGCGTGTGTTTGGGTTGACTGTGAGCACTTAGTGTGTGTGTGTACTAGTGCTCAAAGTGTGTATGGGTGCTGAATTGTGTACGTTAGGGTTTAGAGCGTGCGTGGTAACTGGATATGCGAGTGTGTGTGGGGAGCGGTGGTGCAGTGGTTAGCGCTACGCTGACCGCTACGAACCCGGCGACCCGAGTTCGATTCCCCCTGGCTCGCGGCCAACACCGGTGACGATTATTTGAACCGGTCCTGGCTGGGCTTCCCCTAGGTCGACTCAGCCTCGAATTAGTACTTGGCGCGGTGTGTAAACATCGCCACTGGGGAGACAAAGGCGAGCGTGCGTGGTGCTGGCCACCCACCCCCTCGTGTGCCGTGCCGGCCTTCATAGGTGCTCACAAACAGCACTTGCCCCTACAGTCTGGTAAGACTATACGGGGGGGGGGGGGTCTTTGTATGGGTGTTAAGTGTGACAGGGAGTGTGTTAGATTAAGTGAGACCCTACTGAATGTCTGTGTGTAACGTTCAGAGAGAAATAGTGCACGTGTGTGTGTTACAGATAAGACGGTGTGTGAGCGTTCAGAGCGAGAGAGAGCATGTGTGTGTGTGTTACAGATGAGTGTGTGTGTGTTACAGATGAGAGTGTGTGTGTGAGCCTCCAGAGAGAGAGAGAGAGTGAATGTGTGTGTGTGTTGCAGATGAGAGTGTGTGAGCGTTCAGAGAGAGAGTGCGTGTGTGTTACAGATGAGTGTGTGTGTGTGTTACAGATGAGTGTGTGTGTGTTACAGATGAGAGTGTGCGTGTGAGCGTTCAGAGAGAGAAAGTGCACGTGTGTTACAGATGAGAGTGTGTGTGAGCTGAGAGTGTGTGTGTGAGCGTTCAGAGAGAGAGAGAGAAAGTGCACGCGTGTGTGTGTGTGTGTTAGAGATGAGAGTGTGTGTGAGCTGAAAGTGTGTGAGTGTCCAGGGAGAGTGTGTGTGAGTGTCCAGGGAGAGTGTGTGTGTGTTACAGATGAGAGTGTGTGTGTGAGTGTCCAGGGAGAGTGTGTGTGTGTGAGTGTCCAGGGAGAGAGTGTGTGTGTGTGTTACAGATGAGAGAGTGTGTGAGTGTGAGTGTCCAGGGAGTGTGTGTGAGTGTTTAACTACGACTCGAGAGCAAAATCGGTGAGAACGAGAGAGCGGTGGTGGTGGTGGGGGGTGGCCGTGAGTTTTTAGTGGTGGTGGTGGTGATGGTGTGGGGGGAGTGAATTGGGGGAGGGCAGTGGTGGTGGTGGTGGTGGCGAATTTGAGAGGTTGGGGGGAGGGAGAGAACAGAGAGGGAGGGGAGAGGGGGGGGCAAGGCTTAGGGAATGCTTTTATCTGCGGCCAAAAACCTCAGCAGAGAGAGCGAGAGAGCTCAGGGTTGGAGTGAAGAATACGAGAATTCGAGAGAGTGAAGGGAGAGAGAGGTGAGGGAGAGAGTCTCCTCAACCACGGTTCTGTCCAGGCCACCACCACTGTCATCACTACCACACCACCATCATCACAATACCATCATCTGAATACCATCAGTACAATAACATAATCTCAGTGCTATCATCATCACCACAGTATCGTAATCATTTGAATAGCATCATTGCAATACCATCATCACAGGACCATCATCATCACGTTATCGTCATCATCAGAATACCATCGCCATCACCAATCACAGCACCACCATCATCACCACCACCGGATAGTATGTTCATCGTCACGATTACCATCATCTTCACAGTAACACAATCACATCTGCCGAGGGTATCATCATCATCATCATCGTCGCCATCGCCATAGCGGCACCACCACCATCATCATCATTGCCGTTATCGCAGCAGCAGCAGCATCGTCGTCCTCATCATCACCACCAGCATCACCATCATCAAACAATCATCACAATCATCACCATCATCACGAGCATCACCACGATCAAGGAGGGGAGATGGATGGAGGCTGTCGGGTTACCATCGCGAGGCTGTGAGACGCCGGGAATCGGATTGAGAATTACAACTTTTAAGGGCATCAACAACAACATCAACAACAACAACATCAACAACAGCAGCATCAACAACAACATCAACAACATCAACAACAACATCAACAACAACATCAACAACAACATCAACAACAACATCAACAACAACATCAACAAGTGAAGACGGAACGTGGTGGACCCTGAATACATCCATACTGTTGGGAGAAAAACATCAACAATGGGCAAGTTTCAGTCGAAACAGGGTAAGTGTTGGACGCGTGTTTGTCTGCCGCTGCCGATCATGATTCTATCATCACCCGTGGTAGTCGTGTGTGTCGTGTCGTGTGTGAGTGTCTTTTTAATGTCTTTCTTAACGGTGGGGAGCGGTGGCGCAGCGGTTAGCGCTACGAAACCCGGCGACCCGGGGTTCGATTCCCGCTCACGGCCAACACCGGACACGATTATCTGAACCGGTCCTGGGCCTCTCCTAGGTCGGCTCAGCCTCAACATGAGTACCTGGTGCGGTGTGTAAAACAACATCGGCACTGGGGGAGACAAAGGCGGCCGGGCGTGGTGCTGGCCACCCACCCCCCTCGTGCGCCGTGCCGGCCTTCATAGGTGCTGCTCGCTCACAACACTTGCCCCAACAGTCTGTGGAGGCTACACGGGGGATCTTTGGTGTTGTACATGCTTTATGGACAGTCGGAACAAGTTGTGTTGGCGAGCACCTATTAAGGTCGGCACGGCGCACGTGGGCATGGTGTGTCGGGAATAACGCCCCGGCCGCCTTTGTCTTCCCTGTATATGTATGATTATTGGACTAGTCACCACGTGTATGCAATGACAGGCAAATACAAAAGCAATGCCACTGCGACTTATACTCACAAAGGTACTTTATACAACTGCACATCTGGGATATATTGCTATTAAATTGTGTTTTATAATTCAACAATAAAGATATAACAGGCGACGTTTCGGACAGCGGGCCTTATTAACAGCACACGGAGAGGCCAGAGAGGCGGAGCATGGTCATAGCAAGACTTATTATACACGTCCTGGAAGTTAGATAAGTTAAATTACAAACTATCCAATTTGTACGGTGTCTATCCACTGCTGGATGGAGGCTACTGCAAATCGGGTCGGTCTTGGGGGTTGTTTGACCATACTTCACCACACTGGCTCAGCCAATGACCTGCCCATACGGGACATCTGTAGTAACAAAAGAGTAGGGCTTCATAGCTCATCGAATTGTTCCAGTCGAAAGATTCTGATTCTGAATGATTCTGTACTGTCAACCGATTCAGATGCCGCTGATGTTGGCTCGCCACAGCCGTGGCAGGGAATCGAACCCGGCGCTCACACAAGGTGGTGTCGTGCAAGCGTGCTAACCATTGCGCTACGGTGGCTATGATATGTCAACTACCTCGCCTGGTGTACAGGAAGTCGTGGGTTCGATCCCGACCCTGACGCCTGCTGCTGCTGTATATTTGGAATTTGCGTGTCTCTCTCTCATCATCATCACGGTGGCTAGGAGATGTTAACTACCTCGCCCGGTATACAGGAGGTCGTGGGTTCGACTCCGACCCTGACGCCTGCTGCTGTATATTTGGAGTTTGCGTGTCTCTCTCTCTCATCATCATCACGGTGGCTAGGAGATGTTAACTACCTCGCCTGGTGTACAGGAGGTCGTGGGTTCGATCCCGACCCTGACGATGCCTGCTGCTGTATATTTGGAGTTTGCGTGTCTCTCTCTCATCATCATCACGGTGGCTATGAGATGTTAACTACCTCGCCTGGTATACAGGAGGTCGTGGGTTCGATCCCGACCCTGACGATGCCTGCTACTGTATATCTGGAGTTTGCGTGTCTCTCTCTCATCATCATCACGGTGGCTAGGAGATGTTAACTACCTCGCCTGGTATACAGGAGGTCGTGGGTTCGATCCCGACCCTGACGATGCCTGCTGCTGCTGTATATTTGGAGTTTGCGTGTGTCTCTCTCATCATCATCACGGTGGCTAGGAGATGTTAACTACCTCGCCTGGTGTACAGGAGGTCGTGGGTTCGATCCCGACCCTGACGACGCCTGCTGCTGTATATTTGGAGTTTGCGTGTCTCTCTCTCATCATCATCACGGTGGCTAGGAGATGCTAACTACCTCGCCTGGTATACAGGAGGTCGTGGGTTCGATCCCGACCCTGACGATACCTGCTGCTATATATTTGGAGTTTGCGTGTCTCTCTCTCATCATCACGTGTCTCTCTCTCATCATCATCATCACGTGTCTCTCTCTCATCATCATCATCATCACGTGTCTCTCTCTCATCATCATCACGTGTCTCTCTCATCATCATCATCACGTGTCTCTCTCTCATCATCATCATCACGTGTCTCTCTCATCATCATCACGTGTCTCTCTCTCATCATCATCATCATCACGTGTCTCTCTCATCATCATCATCATCACGTGTCTCTCTCATCATCATCATCATTACGTGTCTCTCTCATCATCATCATCATCACGTGCCTCTCTCATCATCATCATCACGTGTCTCTCTCTCCCCGTGGTCGCGTGGATTTTTCTCCGGGTTCTCCGCTTTTTCCCTTCCACATTGAGAATCGACAAGCGGCGTTCATAGAGTGTCTGGCTGCTATAACTTCCACGTGACGATGATAAGCCTTCTTCATTGAGCTATCATTTGGGGCCAGGCTTGCTTCTCATTAAAAAAAAGAGCTACGTAGCTCAGTGGGCCTTACCTGGTAAAACAGTAGTTTCAGTTTAAAATCTCCGCACGGTACCGTACGGTACTCCATTGCAAACAATGAATGGAAATCTTAGCCCAAGTCGAACTCAAGGCAGGGCGCAAAGGTCTCCTGAATTCCATCGTTACCTGGCTGAGTCACAAACTTTGTTCGGCAAAAAGAGACGATAGCAACAACAATGGCACTTCAACGTTGACAGCGAGACAAAGGGGCGCTGACATCACGGGGTCAAGACTCGTCAGCCTAACGGGATTGAACGCGCCCATTGGTGGAGCGCGTTCCACTGGACGGAGACGGAGCGATGAAATCAGTCCCGTGCCGTGCCGCGCGCGCAGGTTGATAGGTGCGGAGGAGCGGTGGAGCGGGTGGTCGGCGTGCCGCGCCACGCTACCCGGCCGCCCCAGTTCGATCCCAGCCCGCGGTCAAACACCACCGGTGACGGTTATCTGAGCCGGTTATGGGACGCCGGCTAAATGAGTGCCTGGTGCGGTGCGTAGTAAACGTCGCCACAAGGGAGACAAAGGCGGTCGGGCGTGGTTGCTGGCCACCCCACCCCCATCGTGTGCCCGTGTCGGCCTTCGTAGGTGCTGCTCGCTAACAGCACTTAGCCCCAACAGTCTGTTACAGGCTATAGGGGGGATCGTTGTCTTTAGTGTGGGATCATTAATTGCATCGTGAGAGGATCGTGAGAGGTAGCGACTGACGGCTTTGGGGAAACCTTCATCCGGCAGTGGATTGACCATGGCTTAACGATGGTGGTGGTGGTGATGGTGACTGCAAGATTCACTCGAAGATCCCTCAGAAGTGATTTAATCCGGCAATTGCTGGAATTTGGGTCGTTCTTGCTCAGGAAAGAACGTCACATTCTCGCCAAATTGTGTCATTTTATTGTGACCGCAAGGCCAGCGTTTTTTTTATGTTCTTCCGGCTAATTGCAGGTTCTCTATTTTCTTTGTGTAATCTGTCTCCTGTCAAAGGGGGGAGACGGGGGGGGGAGGGGAACACGTGGATTAGAGAATATGCACAGGTTGTATTATGTACGTTGAACTTCTTTCGCACCGTACGTAGCCAACCGTGCTAATCGGAGGTGTGGGGGAAGGACAAGAAACTATGGGTCTCTCTCTGAGTCTGTGGGTCTCTGTTTGAGTCTATGTATGTGTGTTGAACTTCTTTCGCACCGTACGTAGCCAACCATGCTAATCGGAGGTGCGGACATATAAGTGTACTTATATGTCCCCACATATATGTTCCGTACCGTCATCAACCCACGCTGACCAGCGTGGTGAAGTGTGATCAATAGACCCCATGCCACCAGCATGGCATGGGGAGGCCCTGACCCGGCAGTGGATTTACTGTAGGCTGTGCAGCGTATGCAGTGATGTATACGGCGCTGCGGTTAATCCGTGTACTGGCCGGTTGCTGGCATCATACACATTTCAGGCCTCCCACATTTCCAGCTCACCGGATTATCAGGCCCACCAGATTTCCAGCTCACCAGATTTCAGGCCCACCAGATTTCCAGTTGACCAGATTTCAGAACCACCAGATTTCCAGCTCACCAAATCTCAGGCCCACCAGATTTCAAGCTTACCAGATTTCAGGCCCACCAGATTTCCAGCTCACCAGATCTCAGGCCCACCAGATTTACAGCTCACCGGATCTCAGGCCCACCAGATTTCCAGCTCACTGGATCTCAGGTCCACCAGATTTCCAACTCACCGGATCTCAGGACCACCAGATTTCCAGCTCACCAGATTTCAGGCCCATCAGATTTCCAGCTTACCAGATATCAAGCCCACCAGATTTCCTGCTCACCAGATTTCAGGCCCACCAGATTTCCAGCTCACCAGATATCAGGCCCACCAGATTTCCAACTCACCGAATCTCAGGCCCACCAGATTTCCAGCTCACCGGATCTCAGGCCCACCAGATTTCCAGCTCACCGGATCTCAGGTCCACCAGATTTCCAGCTCACCAGATTTCAGAGCCACCAGATTTCCAGCTCACCAGATGGTAGGCCCACCAGATTTCCAGCTCACCAGATTTCAGGCCCACCAGATTTCCAGCTCACTGGATTTTAGGCCCATCAGATTTTCAGCTGACCTAATTTCAGGCCCACAAGATTTTCAGCTCACCGGAGATCAGGCCCACCAGATTTCCAGCTCACCAGATTTCAGGCCCACCAGATTTCCAGCTCACCGGATCTCAGGTCCACCAGATTTCCAGCTCACCAGATTTCAGAGCCACCAGATTTCCAGCTCACCAGATGGTAGGCCCACCAGATTTCCAGCTCACCAGATTTCCAGCTCACTGGATTTTAGGCCCATCAGATTTTCAGCTGACCTAATTTCAGGCCCACAAGATTTTCAGCTCACCGGAGCTCAGGCCCACCAGATTTCCAGCTCACCAGATTTCAGGCCCACCAGATTTCCAGCTCACCGGATCTCAGGTCCACCAGATTTCCAGCTCACCAGATTTCAGAGCCACCAGATTTCCAGCTCACCAGATGGTAGGCCCACCAGATTTCCAGCTCACCAGATTTCCAGCTCACTGGATTTTAGGCCCATCAGATTTTCAGCTGACCTAATTTCAGGCCCACAAGATTTTCAGCTCACCGGAGCTCAGGCCCACCAGATTTCCAGCTCACCAGATTTCAGGCCCACCAGATTTCCAACTCACCGAATCTCAGGCCCACCAGATTTCCAGCTCACCGGATCTCAGGCCCACCAGATTTCCAGCTCACCAGATTTCAGGCGCACCAGATTTCCAGTTGACCAGCTTCCAGGCCCATCAGATTTCCAGCTCACCAGATTTCAGGCCCATCAGATTTCCAGCTTACCGTATATCAAGCCCACCAGATTTCCTGCTCACCAGATTTCAGGCCCACCAGATTTCCAGCTCACCAGATTTCAGGCCCACCAGATTTCCAGTTGACCAGATTCCAGGCCCACCAGATTTCCAGCTCACCCGATCTCAGGCCCACCAGATTTCCAGCTTACCGATATCAGGCCCACCAGATTTCCAGCTCACCAGATATCAGGCCCACCAGATTTCCAGCTCACCAGATATCAGGCCCACCAGATTTCCAGCTCACCAGATATCAGGCCCACCAGATTTCCAGCTCACCAGATTTCAGGCCCACCAGATTTCCAGCTTACCGGATCTCAGGCCCACCAGATTTCCAGCTCACCAGATTTCAGGCCCACCATATTTGCATATTTCCAGCTCACCAGATTTCAGGCCCACCAGATTTCCAGTTGACCACATTTCAGGCCCACCAGATTTCCAGCTCACCGAGTTTGAGACCCACCAGATTTCCAGCTTACTGGATTTCAGGCCCACTAGATTTCCAGCTCACCAGATTTCAGGCCCACCAGATTTCCAGCTCACCGGATCTCAGGCCCACCAGATTTCCAGCTCACCGAGTTTGAGACCCACCAGATTTCCAGCTCACCACATTTCCAGCTCACCAGGCAGCAGCAGCAGCGAGGATTGGTGGATCACCGCACTCATGCTGTGAAACTCCCTTCCCGTGGGAGTCGAGGAGATGCCGTACCCTGGCTGTGCAAGGAGAAGGCGGTACAGCAAGTGGACTGATCGCCATCTGCTTCCCATCTGTACGGGGGGAGGGGGGGATAGACTGTTGACCCTTCACGCAAGGCGTGGGTTTTCTCCAGGTGCTCCAGTTTCCTCATCCCGCCGTGAATAATTATAGTAAACACGGATAATCATTAATCGAGCTGACAGCATCTTACAAATGAAATCTCCCAATGTAGCAGGGAGCATGACCCTCCTGGAAAAATAATCCTCCAGCTCAAGTGTGGTTCTCCTGGACAATAAACCCTTTCCCGGTCCGAGACGTCTACAAGTTGTCGGGTGGGTGTCCCGTTCAGCGCTGAATCTCGGAACGCGCGCCAGACCGTGCCGCACACGCCCTCCTGCGTGGCCTTGCGGGAGCCTCGGTTCCCGATGACGTCATCTTACTTCAGTTGCTCTTCCGATCACGTTCCGATGACGCACGCACGTACGCCATCGGAACGGGAGAGCGTTTCGTAAATTATCTCCACCACCCAAGGAGAAGATGGAGCAATGAGATCGGGCCGTGTGCCGGCGCAAAGGTGAGTTATGATCAGTTTAACACGTAGGCTGTCGCGACCACTACGGATTATGGGTTACGATGTCGCACGGTCGTGAGAGGTGGACGTCGGTGGCCCGTGGGGAGGCCTCCATCCAGTTAGTGGATTGACCGTGGCTGCTGCTGATGAGTCTGTCTCTTAATTGCACGTCACGTTAAACGTGCATCGTTGCGTGCTAAATGTGCACTGGAGATTTTTTTTTGTAATCCCGAAATATAGACTTGAGATTAAGAAATCCACTTTGTCTTTTCCCGATTCCCTCGCCCCCAAAACAACAGCGTGCAGGAGAAGAGAAAGTCCAGAAGGTAATTCATTCATTCAATCACTCATTCCCTTCAATCACTACATTCATTTAAACCATGTGACCACACATCCCATTGAGGGCAGACGTTTCCTCTTCGAACTACTGCAGAGATTTACATAGAGACCCACAGATGTACAGAGAGACCCATGTATAGAGACACATACACTCATGGATATTCTTGGAACTTAACAGACTTGAACAGACACTTTATTGACTTAGGTAGTGATATATAGAAGCGCACAGACACCCAGAGGCGTACACACATTGACCCAGAGGCGTACACACAGACACCCAGAGGCGTACACACAGACACCCAGAGGCGTACACACAGACACCCAGAGGCGTACACACAGACACCCAGAGGCATACACACAGACACCCAGAGGCATACACACAGCCACCCAGAGGCGTACACACAGAGACCTGCAGCAGTTTTATGAAGGTCACATTTCATTAATTAGTGTTCAAAATGGTAAATTAATTATTGTGTTGGAATGAGGGGTTGAATATTAAAATCGGCTTCTGCCCTTGCCCATGCCCTCGTCAAGCACCCATTACCTGGCTGGCCAATGCCCTCGTCAAGCACCCATTCCCACCAAGTGCCTCAGGCCACAATAGCCCCCTTCTGCCTGGGCCCTCAATGCTCTCTTCCTTTGCTCTGTCTCTCACTGTCTCCCCTCACTCAACACAAGCCCTCAACTCCCAATTCTAACCTCTAACTCGAACTCTGACTCTCAATCCTAACCCTCACACTCACTCCTAAGCCTCACTCCTAACCCTGACTCCCAATCCTAACCCTCACTCCTAAGCCTCACTCCTAACCCTGACTCCCAATCCTAACCCTCACTCCTAAGCCTCACTCCTAACCCTGACTCCTAACTCTGACTCCCAATCCTAACCCTCACCCTCACTCCTAAGCCTCACTCCTAACCATGACTCCCAATCCTAACCCACACCCTCACTCCTAAGCCTCACTCCTAAGCCTCACCCCAAACCCTGACTCCCAATCCTAACCCTCACCCCAAAGCCTCACTCCTAACCCTGACTCTCAATCCCAACCCTCACTCCTAAACCTCACTCCTAACCCTGACTCCCAATCCTAACCCTCACCCTCACTCCTAAGCCTCACTCCTAACCCTGACTCTCAATCCCAACCCTCACTCCTAAACCTCACTCCTAACCCTGACTCCCAATCCTAACCCTCACCCTCACCCCGAAGCCTCACTCCTAACCCTGACTCTCAATCCCAACCCTCACTCCTAAGCCTCACTCCTAACCCTGACTCCCAATCCTAACCCTCACTCCCAAGCCTCACTCCTAACCCTGACTCCCAATCCTAACCCCCACCCTCACTCCTAACCCTGACTCCCAATCCTAACCCTCACTCCGAACTCTCACACCCAACCCTAACCCTGACTCCTAACCTTAACTTTAATCCACACTCCGAACCTTAACTCTCATCGATAATGCTAACTAACCCTCAATAACCTAACTCTCACTTTCAGTCTTAACCCTGACCCACCCATGAATGTTGTTGTCACTTTGTCTCCATCCTTGTAACCTCCCTTCCTCGCTCCCTCGCTGGCGACCGACCAACAGGGGACAGCTTCGTGGTGAACGCTTACGCCAACCGTCGCGGATTGGAAGATGTGCCTGCGAGTGTCCTTCCCCCGGCGTACCGGGTAAGCACACGTACGCGCACGCCGGGAATCCGGGGGACGGAAATCTGGTGGAGGGGGTAAATCCAGGGACTGGTAGTCCAAGGGGCTGGACATCTAGCAGGCAAATATCTGGTGGGCGAATATCTGGTGGGCCTGAAATCCAGGACCTGGAAATCCAGGGGGCCAGAAAATGCAGTGGGAAAATGTTTTGTGGGCCCTGAAATCTGTTGGGTGGGAAATCTGGTGGGCCAGAAATCTGGTTAGCTGGAAATCTGGTGGGTCAGAAATCTGGTAAGCTTTAAATCTGGTTCACTGAAAATGTGGTGGACCTGAAATCTGGTTCACTGGAAATCTGGTGGGCTTGAAATCTGGTTCACTGGAAATCTGATGGGCCTGAAATCGGGTTAGCTGGAAATCTGGTGGGACTGAAATCTGTTTCGCTGGAAATCTGGTGGGACAAAAAATCTAGTTAGCTAGAAATCTGGTGGGACTGAAATCTGTTTCGCTGGAAATCTGGTGGGATTTAAATCTGGTTATCTGGAAATCCAAGGAGGCGGGTATACGTGGGCAGTTCCACAAATCCAGCGATGTCACTATTAACATTTCCAAATCATAATGATAAATATGGGGCACCATTTTGGAGGTAACTATGTTTATCTATACAGACCTTGATCAGTCCACTGCTGGTTGAGGACCTCCTTCTACGGGGGAAGCCACTCATAGCAAGAGATGTTAACTACCTCGCCTGGTGTACAGGAGGTCGTGGGTTCGATCCCGACCCTGACGCTTACTGCTGCTGTTATATTTGGAGTTTCTCTCTCTCTCATCATCATCATCACGGTGGCTATGAGATGTTAACTACCTCGCCTGGTGTACAGGAGGTCGTGGGTTCGATCCCGACCCTGACGCTTACTGCTGCTGTTATATTTGGAGTTTCTCTCTCTCTCATCATCATCATCACGGTGGCTATGAGATGTTAACTACCTCGCCTGGTGTACAGGAGGTCGTGAGTTCGATCCCGACCCTGACGCCTACTGCTGCTGCTGTTATATTTGGAGTTTCTCTCTCTCTCTCATCATCATCATCACGGTGACCAGGAGATGTTAACTACCTCGCCTGGTGTACGGGAGGTCGTGGGTTCGATCCCGACCCTGATGCCTGCTGCTGTTATATTTGGAGTTTTTGCCCGGGTCCTCCGGTTTCTCCCTCCACATTTAGAATCAACGTCACGCGTTCAGAGTGCTTAGCTGCTGCACATTTGCACGCGATGTCGACGATGTTGACGATGCAGCCGCTTCGCCGGGCTACCATTTGCGATTGCCCTGTCGCTTCTCAACAACAAACTGCGCGGCTTCAATGGGGCCTTGCCTGCTAAGATTTAAACAACAACAAAAAGCGACGCAACTTCGCACTCAAGCCTCGTTCACGTGGGGGGTCATCATTACGAGTGGGTTAACGCTGACCACCACCACCACCACCGCCACCGCCTCGTCGCAAGGCGCGGTGGGAGTCGTTGCCTTCCTGCCAGCTTTGTGAGCGGCATCCAAGCGCCGCTGGGCGAGTGGTCGAGCCCGTCCGAGTATCGCCTGCCCGACAGCATCTCTCCTACAGTGACGGGAGTTGCTCCCGAGCGAGCACGCGCGTACGTTTGAACTTCGTTCACGGTGTACGTAGCCAACCGTGCCGATCTTTGCGTGCGCAGAAGGGTGGGGGTGGCGGGGTTTGGCTTTTGGGCGCTTTGCTTTCAACCTGAGTTGGAAAGCGTTGCGTGTAATTAAGCATTTTGCCGGCGTAGGCTCTTGGCTCGTGGGGGGCGGGGGGGGGTGGAGGGGGGGCACGTCAGCAACGGGAGTCGAGGACGCTTTTGTCTTGTTCCTTCGCCTTCTTTTTCACGCTTGTGAAAATGCACGCGGCGGGGCAGGCGGCAAGCGGCAAACAATTTAGAAAGTGCGGCGGAGCGTCGTGCGATGACTGATGGAGACCACTGGCTCCTGGAGAAATTCTAGAGCAGCCTCGAAACCACCCGCCCACCAACCCCACCACCAACCCCCCCCCCACCAACCCTCTCCCCCCCATTAGCCCCCAACCCACGGCAACCCCAGCCGGGAGGGCCTGGGAGAGTGAAATCTCCTTGCTTTTAAGAGTGAGGAGGAACTCCCCCCTACACCTCCCCCCCACCACCCCATCTCCCCCCACCTCCCCCTCACCACCCCATCTCCCCCCACCTCCACCACGTGACTCGACGTCACCCGTGCCTGTGCCCTGCCCTTAACCTCCCTCCCTCCCGCTCCGCCCGCCCACCACAGATGGCTCAGAGTGCCGTGAAAATCATTAAAATCTCTTTGGTTGACTACAGAATATTCATTAAAATCTCTTTGGTTGACTACAGAATAATCGTTAAAATCTCTTTGTTTGACTACAGAATAATCATTAAAATCTCTTTGGTTGACTACAGAATAATCATTACAATCTCTTTGGTTGACTACAGAATAATCATTAAAATCTCTTTGGTTGACTACGGAATAATCATTAAAATATATTTGGTTGACTACAGAATAATCATTAAAATCTCTTTGGTTGACTACAGAATAATCATTACAATCTCTTTGGTTGACTACAGAATAATCATTACAATCTCGTTGGTTGACTGCAGAATAATCATTACAATCTCTTTGGTTGACTGCAGAATAATCATTACAATCTCTTTGGTTGACTGCAGAATAATCATTAAAATCTCTTTGGTTGACTGCAGAATAATAATTACAATCTCTTTGGTTGACTGCAGAATAATCATTACAATCTCTTTGGTTGATTGTAGAATAATCATGACAATCTCTTTATTTGACTACAGAATAATCATTACAATCTCTTTGTTTCACTACAGAATAATCGTTAAAATCTCTTTGGTTGACTGCAGAATAATCATTACAATCTCTTTGGTTGACTACAGAATAATCATTACAATCTCTTTGGTTGACTGCAGAATAATCATAACAATCTCTTTGGTTGACTACAGAATAATCATTACAATCTCTTTGTTTGGCGACAGAATAATCATTACAATCTCTTTGTTTGACTACAGAATAATCATTACAATCTCTTTGGTTTACTGCAGAATAATCATTACAATCTCTTTGTTTGACTGCAGAATAATCATTACAATCTCTTTGGATGACTGCAGAATAATTATTACAATCTCTTTGTTTGACTACAGAAAATTCATTAAAATCTCTTTGTTTGACTGCAGAATAATCATTACAATGTCTTTGTTTGACTACAGAATAATCATTACAATCTCTTTGGTTGACTACAGAATAATCATTACAATCTCTTTGGTTGACTGTAGAATAATCATGAAAATCTCTTTGTTTCACTCCAGAATAATCATTAAAATCTATTTGGTTGACTGCAGAATAATCATTACAATCTCTTTGTTTGACTACGGAATAATCATTACAAACTCTTTGTTTGGCTACAGAATAATCATTACAATCTCTTTGGTTGACTGCAGAATAATCATTACAATATCTTTGGTTGACTGCAGAATAATCATTACAATCTCTTTGTTTCACTACAGAATAATCATTACAATCTCTTTGGTTAACTACAGAATAATTATTACAATCTCTTTGTTTCACCACAGAATAATAATTACAATCTCTTTGGTTGACTGCAGAATAATCATTACAATCTCTTTTGTTGACTGCAGAATAATCATTACAATCTCTTTGTTTGACTACGGAATGATCATTCCAATCTCTTTGTTTCACTACAGAATAATCATTACAATCTCTTTCGTTGACTGCAGAATAATCATTACAATCTGTTTGGTTTACTGCAGAATAATCATTACAATCTCTTTGGTTGACTACAGAATAATCATTAAAATATCTTTGTTTGACTATAGAATAATCATTACAATCTCTTTGGTTGACTGCAGAATAATCATTACAATCTCTTTGGTTTACTGCAGAATAATCATTAAAATATCTTTGGTTTACTGCAGAATAATCATTAAAATCTCTTTGGTTGACTGCAGAATAATCATTAAAATCTCTTTGTTTGACTACAGAATAATCATTACAATCTCTTTGTTTGCCTGCAGAATAATCGTTAAAATCTCTTTGGTTGACTACAGAATAATCATTACAATCTCTTTGGTTGACTGCAGAATAATCATTACAATCTCTTTGTTTGACTACAGAATAATCATTAAAATCTCTTTGGTTGACTACAGAATAATCATTACAATCTCTTTGTTTCACTAAAGAATAATCATTAAAATCTCTTTGGTTGACTGCAGAATAATCATTAAAATCTTTTTGGTTTACTACAGAATAATCATTAAAATCTCTTTGGTTGACTACAGAATAATCATTAAAATCTGTTTGTTTGACTACAGAATAATCATTACAATCTCTTTGTTTCACTACAGAATAATCATTAAAATCTCTTTGGTTGACTGCAGAATTATCATTAAAATCTCTTTGGTTGACTACAGTATAATCATTACAATCTCTTTGTTTGACTGCAGAATAATCATTACAATATCTTTGGTTGACTACAGAATAATCATTAAAATCTCTTTGTTTGACTGCAGAATAATCATTAAAATCTCTTTGGTTGACTGCAGAATAATCATTAAAATCTCTTTGGTTGACTACAGAATAATCATTAAAATCTCTTTGTTTGACTACAGAATAATCATTACAATCTCTTTGTTTGCCTGCAGAATAATCATTAAAATCTCTTTGGTTGACTGCAGAATAATCATTAAAATCTCTTTGGTTTACTACAGAATAATCATTAAAATCTATTTGGTTGACTGCAGAATAATCATTACAATCTCTTTGTTTGACTACGGAATAATCATTACAAACTCTTTGTTTGGCTACAGAATAATCATTACAATCTCTTTGGTTGACTGCAGAATAATCATTACAATATCTTTGGTTGACTGCAGAATAATCATTACAATCTCTTTGTTTCACTACAGAATAATCATTACAATCTCTTTGGTT